GCCTTCTTAGCAGGAATCCTCACAGCTGAAATAAAATCAATATAATTATCGCAAGTAAAAAAAGAAATAAGGAATTGATGAAAAAAGTAAGTCGAAAAACCTCTCATTCAACACCTTCATAGATTGGAGACTCTACACGAATGTGTTCTATGCCAATACAAAGATGTCCTTTGAAACTGTCTAGAGTGTGCTTAGTCGGAACCACCCACTTGACACATTTTTGAGATTCTTGTCGAAGGATTTTTACAAATTCCCCATAGACGAACCGGTCTGGAAATAGGGGACTAAAAGCCACACCAAATTCAGTACTTGACAGTCGAGGAAATTTTGGGGGATAAAAGTTAAAAGCTAGTTCGTACCGTTGTTCAGATTTAACGTACGAAGGTAGTTTTAAACCCTCTAGTTTCTTTGTAAATTTTTCTTTCAAAGTAATTGTTGCTTCATGAATGGTTCGACTAAGATCATCAGGTCTATAGGTAGTTTCAAAGTATTTTTGGAATTCTTGGATTTCTTTGATGTGAGTCGAAATACCTTTCTTGACTTTTTCTTGCACAGAAGAGTAAAGGCAGGAATATTGAAAATTTCTCTGGTATAATAATCCTTCCTCCAAGTTTCAAACTCTTGGGTGCAAAGGAGTGATGTTTTAAAGGAAACAGGAGAAAGATGTGTGATTCCAGTGTATCAAGCCATTTCTTTTTTACATTAAGCTTCTGTATGGATCATATTGTATATAATCAATGTGTTCTTTTTGGTAAAAAGTTGTCGTGGCATAATTTGAATAAGACCAAACTGTCGAGTGACCAGATTGGGTTGATAATTGAGGAGAGTGATTTGAAGTCTTGAGGGTCTAAGCCTTGTGGCCAATAGTATAAGGGTGATAAATGCTTCCCATATGGCAAGGGATTCTGCTTCTTGGTCCTTCGACGGGGCAGGAAATTTCCTTGTAAACCATTCCGGGTCATGATCCCTGTCAGCAAATGGGGCAATATTTGGTGTGAAGTTGTAACGCTTGGTGAACATCATCACATACCCGGTGAAGGTTTGTTGGAGATTTAATCCTTCGTCACTTGGGGTCAGCAAAGCAAGTCACATTCCTTCGACCCTCCCGTTCTTTATTTCACCAATCTCTGCATTTATGGGATTATGAACTGGTAAAGATGATTCAAAGGCAGCATCACCCATAATTGCAGCAACCAGAAAGGTGCAGAGAGTAGCAAGTTTTCTTTGGACTGAATGGTTTTAAGAGCTATGACGCCTTCGCTTAAGGTCTCGTAGAGGTTGGCCAATATCATTTTGCTGAGACAAAGGTTATGTCCAGGATGTAGTTGGTTCGACATGGTTAGATACCTCTTTGCCACTTGAAGGGATATCGAGCAAAATACACAGCGAGATAGCTATAGAGCAAGGAAAGCAATGTTCTTTTGATCAGACACTTTGACAAAGTCTTTATCATGGTAATATGCAATGTAAGCGGTGAAAGCAACTTTGGTGGTGTCGAAACCAATGGAATCTTCCGCCATGAAGTTTGGGTGATAAGTTCCCCCAATTGGTTTAAGTCCAGTAATGGCAGCAATGTCAAAGAGGGTAGGTGTCATCATTTCACAGGGAAGATGAGAGGTATTGTAGATGCTATCCCAAAAGTACAGAGAGGCTAGCATGGATTGAAAATAGCCAGGTCCAACTTTCAACAGCTGAATCATGTCGAAAATACCTATTTCTTTCCAGATTTGAGATTTTTTCTTTTCTATCTTCTCTAGCCAGGATAAGTAGTCTGAGGGATCCTTAAATAAAGGGCATCGAAACACCCTAAAACTATTGTTCATATAGTCTAGATTGATGGATTTTTCAGGAGCCCCTGTCGAAGGCGAGTCTTGGTTATCAATTTTGAATTTTTCATCAGCTTCAATATCTTCACTAGCCCTAGGTTTTCTCCCATTGACTATGGGTTTGTAGCGATGGTATGTTAGAAAAAATTCCTTAAGTCTATTAGGGTTAGCAGAATGATTCGGTGGGAGACCTAACATGGCATGCGTTTTACCCATAACAGAAATAGGACTCAATACCCGAGATTGGTAGATTCTTCTTTTTTCTTCTTCAAGTGGAGGATCTGGTATGTACTGTTGGTTACCCATAGCTCTTGGGCACAAAATCTTGTGAACTAGAGAAAGTTCAGTTGATTTCTTGGATTCTTTGATAATCTTGTTTGAATCTTTGAAAGCTTTAGTAGAAGACGCCATTGATGCATCAAAGATTGAAGAAAAATGGGTTGTATTTGCAAAAGAAGAAAAGTTCAGAGAAAGTTTGTTCTTACTAAGAAAGATTCAGAAGATGGGAAAAGTTGAAGAAATGGTGTTCTTCACTATTTATAGGTTGATGAAATGAAGCGGTTCATTTCAAGCATTGATGGTTAAAAAAGATAGTGGGACACATGCCAATCGGAGAACAAGCGATGGGACGATGGCAGTTGAACTGACCCACGATCTCCTAGGAACTAGGTGCATGATGATTGCAATAAAGATTATGCATGGTTGAGAGGAGACGTTTGAGAAAAGGTGTCATGATGATTATGACGACATAACAGACAAAAGTTTATGGCGTCGAAAGAGGCTTTCAAAAAATATTTTTTTCTCCATTTTAGTCGAAAATGACATCTTTGAGGGGAAATTTGTTAGCTAGAGATTTTGACGCTAAAGTTTTATTGAGTATGATAAGCAAAATAAATATTTTGGAATTGGACAGGAGTATCATTGAAGATTTATAGTCGAAGTGATCCTTTGTAAGAGGAGTCGAAGTGATCCTTTTTAAGAGAAATATGATGGGTTAAGACTTAGAAATATTTCTAAGTTTAAATGACAATTTGACGGAGGTAATATTGAGGTTACATTTGATGGAGGTTTTGAATTTTGAATAAGGATGATAATTGTATTTTGGCCTTATCCATTTCTTAGAGGCGACGCGTGTAAAGTTGTGGCGAATTGAAGACATGCAATCAAAACATGTCATTTTCTGGAGAAAAGACCGTCGATAGCGGTTATTTTCGACGTAGTATAAATAAGAGTCTTATTGTGTAGGATTTCCGTGTGTTCATACATTGTACAAATACTCACAAATTATTCCAAGTATCTAAGTGTGTTGAGAAACGAGTTCGTTGAGAATGTACGCCTGAAGCATTATATTTTCATTTTAATTGAATTTATTTTCAGTTTTATCAATTACTTTTTCATTGCAATTTATTGCAATTCTTTTATTATTACTATTATTAAACGATTTAGATCTAGCAAGATTAAATATGTGTTTAATGGTGATGCATTGACAGTGTAAAAAAGTTTTACACTGTCATCCAATAGAAATATATCATTCAGTCATATTATATAATTAGTTAAAAAATTTCAGTTAGATTTGGCGAAATAAATGATTGTCATTCGTTGACAATATAAAATTTTTTACATGGTCAGTGCATCTCCTATTTGTTATAATGTTTAGGGAAAAGTGTGTATATATATATATATATATATATATATATATATATATATATATATATATATATATATATATATATATATATATATATATATATATATATATATATATATATATATATATATATATATATATATATATATATATATATATATATATATATATATATATATATATATATATATATATATATATATATATTATTTCTTTTTATTTTACACTAGCGTCCAGACGGCCACTCGTCTGTCCGTTTTTTAATGTTCAGACGTTTAAAAATATAAACGTATTTTTTGTGTGTTTATTTTTTTAAAATTTAAATTTTATAAAAAAATTGAATAAAATAGTTGTAAAAACTACCATATAACAGTTAATAAAAAAGTTGGTAGAAGAAAAGTCAAAATTTAAAATAAAAAAACAAAAGAGTATAATTGAAATAAAAATAGATTACACCAAATCTAAAATTTATATATATATATATATTATAGATTATAGATTACGTCATTATTATATGTTTATATATATATTTTTACTTAGACAAAAAAAATCCACACTGTGGTTTACAGAAATACCCCTTGTTCAAGGGTGTTCCGCCTTCAATTCTTCAAACGGAAAATAAAGACTCGCGCTGATATCGTAATTTCTTTAAAAACCAAAAAATTAAAATCGAAAATTCTAATTTAGAGCAGCACCAAAATTCTCTTTTTCGAGCGACACGAATTTAGGGTTCGCTAAGATTCAATTTTGCTTCTATCTGCCCAAATCCAAACAGTGAAAGTTCGTAGATTTGCATTTGGATTTCTATAGCTTCGCTCAATTTCATTCCGCTTCACCCAATTTCCATTCCTTAGTTTCAACCCCTTCCCCTAAGGTACTCTCTTTAATCACGTATAAATTGAAGAATTTGTCTCTTAATCTGAGTTGTATGGAAGAACCGTGTTATTAGCTAGTAGAAGTGTATATTAAACCCTATCTCAATGCATGTTTGTAAATTTGTATGGCAGGAGAGGTTGCAGAGTTTGGTACATTCTGTTTGGAAACAGCTATTATTTTATTTTTTTTGACTGAGATTTTCCACACTCCTTTTTGTTCTTTATTCCTTTTAATACCTAATTCACAACTTAATTTGTATCTCTGTTTGCATTTGACTGAAAAGTTTTCATTTTTGCATTTTGATGCTTGTGCAATTCTACATTTTTATTGGACCCCGTTTGATTTTATGTTATTCAAGAGCTTCTGCTCACTAACATGCTTCTTGGACTCTCCTTTTGACCATCTTCGTTTCAATTCGTTTCATTTTGCTTTTTGTTTTCTTGGACTTGTCTTTCAATGCTGCTGTTTTGTAAAAAGTCGTTCATAATGTGGCACTCTATAAGTCTTATCTCGTTGCATAGTTCCACTGAGATTCACTCGATGCAACGACTCCAATTTTGGCCTTTCTTTTTGTTTCTTCCCATGAATTCTTCTGGCCGATGTGCCTTCTTCATAGTTGCCTCACAAGCTTGTTTAATTAGTTTCGTAAGATGCCAATGGGGAAGCCAAGTTCTTCAGCAGTTATTGGTAAGCATTCTGAGCCTGAAAAGCCAGTTGAATCTGACGAGAAGGTCAATCTTGAAGAAGAAAATGATCCTGAGGAAGAAATGGAAGAAGAGATTGAATATGAAGAAGTAGAAGAAGAGGAGGAAGTGGAAGAAATAGAAGAGGAGGTGGAAGAAGAAGAGGAGGACCCAGAGGAGGTAGAGGAAGAGGAAGAAGAGGAAGAGGAAGAGGAGGAGGAGGAGGAGCAAGTGGAAGAAGACACTGTGCCAAACCAAAACATTGATGATGATGAGAAAAAGAAACATGCTGAACTTCTTTCTCTTCCTCCTCACAAGTCTGAAGTTTACATAGGTGGCATTCCTCTTGATGCCGCAACGGAAGATTTGAAAGATTTTTGTGAGCGTATTGGGGAAGTTGTACAGGTATGCCTGTGCCATTTTTTTTATTGTTCTGTTTATGTTCATGTTTATACAGAATGTCACCTATTGACTTGAAGATTGATGAGAACAGGTTCGAATAATGAAAGGAAAAGATTCTTCGGAGAATAAGGGTTTCGCTTTTGTGCTTTTTAAAAATGAAGAACTGGCTTCTAAAGCCATTGAGGAGCTGAATAATACTGAATTTAAGGTAATGTAATAATGTCAGTTGTTAACACTATAGATCCTTCTCTTTTGTAGTTGGTAGCTACTTGGCTTCAATTGAACTCTAATATTTAAAAAACTTCAGACGAGTAATGCAAACATTTAATATAATTTGGTATGATGTATTCAATACCTGACTGTATCAACGATCAATTGTGTCAGGGTAAAAAAATAAGATGTTCTACATCTCAAGCAAAAAATCGTCTTTTTATTGGCAATATTCCTAGAAGCTGGGGCGATAACGATCTAAAAAAGGTTGTCAGTGAGATAGGACCTGGTGTTACCGCTGTTGAACTAGTCAAGGTATGCATTAAGATGTTGTGCATTTCTGTTCCATTTTTAATTGAAAGTTTCTAGTGTTTATTTTTTATGATCAGATTGTTTTTTTTTTTTTTTTTTTGAAACTATTGTTATGGAATTCCATTGACATCATGCACAACTGCAAGTACTTTACTTTAAGTCAGGATATGCATTTTCTTAATTAACTGTACTTTGTTTGATCCCTTGACTCAGGATATGAAGAACATTATCAATAACCGCGGTTTTGCTTTTATTGACTATTATAATAATGCATGTGCTGAATATTCAAGGCAAAAGATGATGAATCCAACATTTAAGCTTGGTGACAACTCCCCAACAGTGAGCTGGGCTGACCCGAAAAATGCTGATTCCTCTGCTTCATCTCAGGTTTCAATTCACATCTCTTCCTTATTTTAAGATGTGTTGATAGTAATGGTTAATATGAAAATAATTTTTTTATTATAATAAAACATTTTCAAGTATGACGGAGACATGAACTCATCATTTAATACATCGGTCTGAATGTGCAAGTGCTGCTTTCTAGGTTTTTAGTTATTAAAGTATAATTTATAACAATAATCCTGATAAAATGTAAAGCATGGGATTGTTTGCGAGATATTTGATCTTTTGGGATTTGTTTGGTTTGGAAAATAACCCCTACATTCTTTTTCACATTTTATATTCTATAATTCTTAAATACTCTAATGGTTAAATGGAAAATGTATCTCCTCCAGTGAGAAAGGAACTGTTTCCACTTTCCAGCATAATATTAACTTGAACATAACCTACTTGCTGTTATTACCATAAGAGTACAACAACAGTGTTCATTCATTAGTTGGTGTTTTTTTATACAAGAAATAACAAATCAATATTAGTAAGACAAAATAATACAACAACAGAGCAGTGTTATCAAATATCGCTGCCATGGCCGCTATGGTGGTTATACATGGTGGTTTCTGGGCTCACCGCAATGGTAAATATCTGCCATAGACCATAATAGTAAATTAGGAGTTTTTCTTAGTCACATCTCTTGCAGTGTTTTCGATGGCGGATGGCAGTCTATGGTGGAGAGCCAAAATCCCGCCATATTGGCCCACTTTGCGGTGCCATTATAGCGGATTATGGCGGAAAATTAGGGGTTTTTCTCAAAAAAAAATAAAAAAATAAATAAAGGAGCGCCGCTGCACCTCAGAACTCAAAACAAGTTTACTTCACAACTCGGGAGAGTTACCGTTTTTGTTACCTATGATCCCACCTGAAACGAAGCACGCCGGCATGACAATGGCACGTTGGTGCTACTGAAAGGAATACACAAATAAGAAAGGGAACACTGATAACATTAATACTGCAAAGCCACCCTTATCCAAATTAAACTTCAATTAGTAACCTTCGGAGACAGCTACAGTTTAAAATGAACATTTCCAAAGATGGTATAATGTGGCGGACTGGCTCAGCCTCACACTAGAAACTAAGGTCGGTGACTAACAAGTAAACTTAAAGTCATACAATTTGTGGTGGTCTTGTATGCAGGGGATGTCTGTTGTGCCTTCACATGCAGTCATGTGGCTAGTTCTTTTCCAATACTTGGGCCTCTACAGATGAGCACTTCTTATTCCAATGGTAGGTTCTAGTATTTTAAGACTAGGTCGGGCTATTGACTCGGTCAGGCTACTAAAGTCACGAGTAGTACCCCATGAACTTATATACTAAATTCATATGCTAAAGCAAATATTTAGTGTAGCCGCTCTAGTACCTTTACGAGTCCTTGTACGATGGATCAATGTTGTCAACCACGCATTGCATAAAATAGAGGTTTATTAAAATTTCGCTCTGCAACAGTGCTATAGTGCTGCTATTTGACAACATTTTTATACAAAATAGTGTAAAGCGTATCGCAGAACAATAGTGTTTTGTTCAAATTAGAACCACTATTTAACAGCATTGCTTTGGATTGATCCTAGCGCCTGCCTTCTTTCCCACTTTTCATTTATTGTAGCAATACACACTTATACAGCTGGAAAGAGCTTTTTGTTTTTTAAATTCTTTCATTTTATACATTTAATTTCTTAGGTCCATAACCGTACATGTTAACTCAATAATACAATATTGTATTATTATTGTAAGGTCCATAACCGTACATGTTAACTCAGGAGTTAACAAGTATGCATACATCACTATCCCCTCTTTTTTGGCCTCTTGTTATATACAAAACTGAAGCGCCACATTTCTTCTTCCCTGCATTGTGTTTTTTTCACTCATTCTTTCTCCCAGCGCTCATTTTCTTGAAAGGATTTTCTCTCAGCATTTATGTTTTCTTCCTCCATTATCATTTCTTCTTTCGTGCATCATTTTGTCTTTACCTTTTTCATTTCTTGCACACTCTTTTATCTTGAAAAGGGATCTGCACGTCTTTTTTTTCTTTTTTTCATGGACTTGTTTTTTTGGATAAACTAAATAAATGAGACCCAGTTGGCGGTTTTGTTGAACTGCACTGCCAAGTTTCCATTTTGTCCTATAACATATCCGATCCCACAAACAGCTCAAGTTGGTCATAGCACCTGACACCTGTTTCCGGTTAGCCTGGCTGGTCTGAGCCAATTTTGAAACACTTGTAGGTTCATTTTGTTGATCAAAGACTGGGATGGTCAAGAATTGGATATTGCGGCTGTAGCTCAGAGGAGACACAACCACTAATATTGGATTGGGTTATAGCCTTAGGGGGTGGAAAACCTGCTTGAAATTGTAGCCAGAGGTTGAGAAATTAGGATTCCTGTGGCCATAGTCAATGTACAGACAACAGGAAGAGTCACTAGACAGAGACACCATAGGAGAGGAGTTACATGCATTTGAAACTTGTTAGCAGAATGGTGGCTGGATATGGTTACAGAGAATGGCACTGCTCTTAGTCATGATAACTTGTTAAAGAGCCCGAAGGAGAGAGATTTGCATGTGGGAGAAAGTGCTTTTAGCTTTGATTGCAGTCCATCTCAAGGCCTTGAGTGCATTAGCAAGCCAACAACTAACTAATCAAAGATTAGTTGTAGAAACTAATTAACAGCTACGGATTACATTGCTACAATTATTATATGGATTACTAATATTATAACATGCACTTAACTATGCTACTGAATCTTGATTCTAGACTACTGGTACTAGCTATTGAATTTGTATCTGACCGTTTCTATCCTAGATGCATTCCTTTGTACACATTGAATATAGTGAATTCTTAAACATGCATGAACAGGTGAAGGCAGTATATGTGAAGAACCTTCCTAAGAATGTAACTCAAGAGCAGTTGAAGCAGCTTTTTGAACACCATGGGAAGATCACAAAGGTGGTTCTTCCACCACCAAAATCTGGTCAGGAAAAGAACAGAATCGGCTTTGTTCATTTTGCAGAGCGATCAAATGCTATGAAAGCACTAAAGAATACTGAAATATATGAATTAGATGGTAACATTATTATTTGTTAAATATCCGCATTTTAAAAGTTATGCAACTGTTGCAATTATTGATTAGGTTTATTCTAAGTTTCAGGTCGAATGTTAGAGTGTTCTCTAGCAAAGCCACAGGCTGATCAGAAGGCTGTAGTAACAAATACACTGAATCAGGGATTGCTTCCAAGCTATCCACCACATATTGGTTATGGTTTGGTTGGTAATCCCTATGGCGCACTTGGTGCTGGATATGGTGCTCCTGGTCTTGCACAGGTGATCCGTGCTTTTTTTATTAGATATTCTTTAATTGTTGAGACACGAAGCTACTCTTATGTGGTTTTCATTGTGTTACTGGTGACATTAAACATTACTCTCCAAATGGATCAATGACATTATAGTCTTACTGCATGCATACCTCTTTTACATATTCGACACTCCCTCCCGTCCTTGTTATAAGAGAATACAACAAAATCAGACAGACCAAAAATACTAAGAACCAAAAATACTCATAAGTATCATGCTACATACATGAAGTGTTTTTACACGGAAAGTGATAAATGCAATATATGCCATTGATTTATTCTCACATTCACCATATATTAGTCTGAGATTCTGATGATTGGAGTCGGATCTGTTGCAGCCTTTAATGTATGGACCCGGTCAAACTCCCGCTGGAATGGCCATGATGCCGATGCTTCTGGCTGATGGACGCATTGGATATGTCTTGTAAGTAGAACTGCAAATGACTGCTCTGTGAATTACACTTATAGCGTGTCATATCACGACATTTAGCATATTGGTAGATATTGTTGCAATAATGGTTTGCAAGTGAAAAAAGATCTGATGGATACCTAGTTTCTTGAATCTAGACCCTAAGAATGTATTTTCTTCCGCAGGCAACAGCCAGGATTGCCTCCGCAAACCCCGCCTTCACATCAAAGAGGTGGCAGGAGTAGCGGCGGCGGCAATAGTGGTGGAAGTGGCAGCAGGAATACGGGCAGTTCAAGTAAGGGAAGGCACAACAATGATAATGGTCATGGGCGAAGATACCACCCTTATTAGCCTGTCTTTGACTTTTTAAAATTTATTTTATCATTTGTGTGATACACTATTGTTTTTCATAAAATAGTTACTATTTATCTGCAAGTTCAGTCTTGATTACATTCATGATTGCGGGCAACCAAGCAGGGTGTAGAAAAAGTTAAACATTCACTGAACGTCTGGGAGTAGAATCAAATGTTTTTATATTGGAATTCGCATTGATCCAGTCGCTATAGGAGACTAATCATATGTATGCAACCCTGCATGATTAAGGGCCAGTTTGGATTTTGTGTCACTCTTGGGGAGAAATTATCAAAAATAACTTGTGACTTTTTTCTTCATATTTTTAGTTTATTTTTATAAATTTTCGTAGATAGTATGTAAGAACAACTTATAGCATAAATAGTTCATGCGAGTTTATTTATAAATGCTTTTTGATAAACACGTGCTATAAGCTGTTTATCTAAATAAGCCCAAAATCAAATATGCCAGCTTTTGAGAATAAATCTAGTACATGGTTGGATTCACTATTAGGAGAGTCGTGATTATGAAAATTTAAAATTGATTGATATGTTTCAAATGTATTTGACTGTCTGGATTTAACAATAAACTAGTATGTAACTCGTGCTTATGCAGGGTATCAATATTAATTTAGTATAAAAGTCGAAGCTAATAGTTTGTGTAATTAATGTTAGAATTAATAATTATTATATTAATGAATTTCGTTTAAAATAATCGTTTAAAAATCTCTCTGTTTTATAAAAAGTATTTTTTTTATTTGTTTTAAATTATTTGTTTTTTAATATTTATTATTATTTTTATTAATTTATTCTTATTTATTGTATTTAAATCATATAATTACTTCCTTGTCTATTAATAACTGTATTTAAATCATATAATTACTTCATTGTCTATTATTAATGAAATTATTTTAATAAATAACACTTATTTTATTATTGAAATCAACATAATTAGTTATTATTTTAAAAATTGTGAAATTTTTAAAGAGGACACTTGGCTGAAGGGAGTAAACTTTAGTGATAGAACTTAAATAATGGTTTCTCAAATTACTAAAATATTGATTACCGAAAAACGAAGTGACAATTAAATTTATGAATGGACTTTATATACATAACATATTTATTGTTTGTTGAATGAACATCATTTTTGAAACGAATTTTGTCTCATGTTATGCACTTTGCTAGAATTTGATTTAACTATAATTGAGTTTTATATTTAGAGACATTTATATAAAAATGAGTTAAACAACAAATTTTAGGATAAAAATCATATTTAAATTCAGAAATTACAAAATTTAGATTCAAGTAGAATCAATTTTAGAGGAAAAATTAATTCTACTTTAAAAGAGGTAAACATCTTAAAATCACTCAAGAATTAATTCTACACATAAAAAATTACTTTTGCCTCCTCTTCCAAAAGATCAACCAACATGCTTTAAAAATATTATGAAAAGTAGAATGTAAAAAATAAAAAGGAATTAGAGTTTGATTAAAAAAATAATAATTAAAAAAAAGAATTGAAGTTGAGAAGCAAAAAGAATGGGAAAATCAAAAGTCATATAACACTTGAGAAGCAAGTTTCTGATTTCATTATATATTTAAAGGTACTACAAAGGATTGAAGTTGACATAGAAAACTATAAATATAAGACTCAAAAAGACATACATTGAAACAGAATAAACAGGATAAATTTTGCAACTGATCTTGAAGATGCTAGAAAAACAGAATAAATTTATAAATAGTAAATTCTTTTGTTAGATTGTTAAAAACATAGCAAATTAAAATAAAAATAAAATTTACCAAAACTTTTTTTCCACCATGCATTTAGTAACATGAATGAACCAAGTATCCCCTCAAAATCTAATTCGTGATATGTTTGTGTTTCCCTATAAGCAAAATTAAAAATTTTGAATACACATTTTTTATTCATTTAAACATGTAGATCTTTAATCATTTTAATGAAGAAATTTTATAAATGGTACTATAGTAGAAGTAGATCTTCAGCCATTTTCTGACGGAACATCCACATATGATTTTTTGAACAGCTAAGACCCTGGTCACCACAGGTTGCAAGTGTGTTGGAATGACATTCTTCATACAACGACCTATTGATAATTGCAAAGCTTTAAAAATCTGGTTCACTTTGTCTTTCATCACATCCACGTCTTGTCTTAAGACAACTTGATTTTATTCCAATTGATTCATTCCTCTTTGATATTTGTTACGTGTCTCATTAGAGTGTCGGGGAGTCAGCTTGTACGACTAGCTGTTTGATATTTTTGAGGATGAAGAGGAAAGTATGAAATGAGTTTTTTGATTGAGCATGGGATGCATGTTGGTGGATGTGGATGCATGCCGATGAAAATAATTTATTTATTGTTTTTATTTTAAGGGAATCTCAAACCTTGTGATGACCGTGAGCATCTAAAAGCGTGAGAACATTGAAAGACCAGATTGATATTGATGCAAAAAGCAACCGATTCATTCATTCAATGAGAAAGACAAGTACAAAGTTTGAGCAAATTACAACTAAAGGCTCAACTTGCAAGCTACATCCAAATTAGCCTTAAATCCTTCAAACATAACCTTACAAGATTCCATAAAGTTAAAAATGGCTAGAGAGGAGTATTATTGGGGAGCATCACTACATAGGTTTTTCTATGTATCCTTGGGATGTTTTGGACCATGCAATTTGCATATGTCTTGGAAATGTTTATCTTTCCAGTTATTACACTATTGTTGGGTCTTTTCAGAGATAACCTCATTATCTTCTACAACCTTGGCCAAGGCTTTCAATTTTTGCTCCTAACAAATGCTCTCACTTTTCAAAGTTTCATATGCCTCATTTTGGCGACGACTATGCTCCTTGAGCGTTTTTAGCTCTTCAAGGGAGTTTCTCCACTCCGCTGGGCCTTAAGAGCAACGATTCAACTTCTTCTTTCTGGCGACGTTCATTCAATACATGACATTGGTACTCTTTGAGAGTTGCAGTGAGATCTTGGATTAACGCTCCAAACTTTTCTCATTTTCTTTTGAGATTCCATGGTTCTTGTCCCCACATCCACCCACTCTTTATTTTTTCACCAAGTTGCATCTGACTCTTGATAGCACACATTGACCTCATCACTAGCTCTTGCTAGGCCTTCCTTTACTCGTTCCTCATATATTTTTCTATCTTGATCCCCTTCCTACTTTCATTTAGTTATTCCCCTTTATTGTAAGGTTCCACTTCAACTCATTTCTTTCATGAGAAACTCGTGAAGGAATATCGCGATTCAAAACGCAACGAAAATTAAAATTTTTCCTTTAATGATCCTTACGAATGAGTATGATCAGTGATAGAAACGATTACCTCTTCTGGTGATTAATAATTTTGATGCAGATCCGGATGAATGATCACGAGCATTGAATGAAGAACAACGACTCTACTCAGTCCATACGAACAAAGTGCCTTCAATCTCAGTAATAGCTGATACGAATGAAGATTTTGAGTGAGAGAGAAAATGAGAGAAAAACAGTCCGGGTTTCACCAACTAAATCTCATCAAATTCTAAAACTTCTACACAAGAGTTGTATTTATAAAACCATTTATGTTGCTGCAAGTAGGGCTGGCAATGAACCAAACCAACTCGAAGATAGTTCGGAATTCGACTCGACAATTAAATCGTTGAGCTAGGTTCATGAACCAAATGAGTTGAGTATGAGCGAAAAATTAAGTTCGTTAACTAAATGAGCTGAACTTGAACTATACATAGTTCGACTCGTTAGGTTCATGAGTCAACTCGATTACATATGAAAAGAATTATACTGTCTTTAAGATTAAGTTTAAATATTTACTTCAAATCTTAGACAAATTTAATCTTCAATTTAGTAGTTTTTGAATTAGACTCTCAAATGTATCTCTTGAAAGTTGTGTAGGTTTTGAATTAGTAGATTTCGAAGATAAAGTTAAATTTCAATATGATAACTTTTATTTTATTTTAATATTTTATTTAAAAATATATATATTTATTTAAAATGTCAAATATACTAAAAAAATATATATATTTAAAAAAATAGTTTTTAAGTTCGTGAACCATGTGAGCTGAACCTAATGAGATGAACCTAACGAGTCGAACCGAACTGTTCGTGAACTTATAACGAGTCGAGTTTGAGCTTAAAAAAAAGTTCGTGTCGAACTCGAACTCGAACTCGAACTCGAATTCGAATAATTCTTAACGAGTCGAGCCGAGCTGAGGTGAGTTCGACTCGACTCGACTCATTTCCAGCCCTAGCTGCAAGTTAAAAAGTCCAACTTAAGTGCACCATATAACTAGCGTCCAACCGTGCCCGTTTGTCCGTTTTTTTTAATTGACACACGTATTAAAATATAAACAGATTTTTTTAATCTAATTTTGTTTTTAATATAAATTATTTTTAATATAAACTTTGTGATATATTTTCTTCATGTGTATTTATATATATTTTTAAAAGCGTACGTGCAATAAATTATAAAATATCTTTTTTTTCTTCTTAATTTTTGTTTTAAATTATATAAACTGACAACTTAAATCTCAAATTAGTAAATATGACCTCTCTTAAAAAAAATTAGTACGTAAGAATTATTAAAAACTATTTAGAATAACTAATCCACATAACACAAAATAAAATAAAAATAAATCACAAATATTTTATTTGATGGGAATGTAAGTGGTTGAATAAAGCTTCAATTTTCTATTTTACAAATAACTAAAATTATCTCAATTGACAACTGCTATGTTTGAGAAAGTTATACGAAAAAAAATAAAATTTCATTGATTAAAAAACAAACAATCAAGAGATTGATTGAGAACCTAATTAAACATAAATTTAACTAATTGATTTAAATTAGAAAAATGTGAGATATGTAAAAATTAAGAAAAATAATTTAAAAATCTTTTAAAATTTATATTTTTGTTTTAATTTAATTAAAAGACGTGAGAGGATATTTTAGAAAGAAGATAATTAAAATAATAAGTGGTT